GTAGCCAAGTAGAAAATGCCAGGCTGTGAACCTTGATTATTGAAGAAACAAATGAGAAAATCCAGGCTAAATCTAAGGATTTGGAAAAGAGAGTACGGACCCAATACTAGCAGAGAAATGTCACTGAGTCATTACCAAGTTAGGAAGTATACTGTGAGGAATACGAAGGCCTAGGCCCTATAAGGGGATCCATCTGCTTGGGAGTTGCTCTGGATAGGTATGAGAGATGTGGGGAATACAATAGTAGATCAAAGACAATTATAGTCCTAGTATAGAAAAATCTAAATACAAATAATAGTACAGGATTAAGATAGATTTGGTGATTTGTATCTGAGAATAAATTAGTTCTAAATTGCAGCCTAAATTGTAAAAATACCGATGTATACAGTAAAATGTAAAGAATTGGAAATATACAATAAAAAAGTTACTGGTTAAAGATGCCGCCTTAAAAAAAAAAGAAAGAAAGAAAAAAGAAAGAAATCGGATGATGGTGAAATTTGAATCTATTTTATGTACGATTGTTAAAAATTTTTTAGGCCTTTTTTGTCGGCTTTTTTTATAGTTAAGTTAGGATTTAGGGGTAGTTATGAGTAAAAGAGTATAGGTGGATTTTGGTAGGGCTTACATCTTAAAATCGAGACCCTAAGTTTCACCATCATGATCATCCGCGACATTAATTATACGTATAATTTTTGTAACATTTGTGTTGCGAATAATAATATTGGTTCAAGTCAAGACACCCGGCAAGAAACCTGTCATTGTCGAAAAACAAATTGCGGCATCAAATCATGTTCTTGCAGAAAAAGAAGTTAGTTCATCATGCTCAAGAAAATGCAGATGTGTTCTACGCGGGAAATGCAAAAACTTTTAATTACACGATTAAATTATATATGAATATTTGAATTTATTCAATGATTAGTCTACGTATAAAATAAATCAATTATTTATGGTACTTTTTATATGATAAAATTATTGATTTATTTTATAAACTGAGATACGTAATAAATCATATAAAACCGTTATTGCATACTTTTCATGCAATAACTATCGCTATATATTATTTCTTAATTTTATTTTATTTTTTTTCAATCTTTTTTTTCGCGGAACATATATGTATAGAATATACTGTATTTAATATTTATAGAAAATCAGAGACTATTTTTCATACGTATAAACGGATTTTACGACAAGTATAGTTATCCGTTTACTATTAATACGTATCCGAATAATTATCCGAATAATTATCCAAATGTTTGTCGGATTATCCGGATATTTGATCCTTTTATCCGATCTGAATGACGGATTTATCTGGATTGGAACTCTATATACGTACAAATCCTATTAAGGTAGAAACTTACCAAATAAGAATGTAAATCCATAACAATGTAGGATAAGACATAATGTGTCTAATATATTATGATTCACATTCTTACGAATTCGGAGAGTTTTCACCTTATAGGATTCAATTTCCGATAGTATTACGTGTTAATCCTTTAACAAGATGTTAAAAAACACTACGTGTTGGAAATTGAATCCCATGACCGAATGCATATAGTCATCACTTGTATGATTTAAATAATTTTTCTCATTGAATAAATTTATAAAACTTGTACGTACGTACGTGCGTACGTAGAATTACCTAAAACCTGTGTTCATCAACAGGCATATTTGTTCTACGTATTGAAACACAATTTAACCATAACTTTTAAATAACTGTCGCGGCTGATGCTGCAATAATCTTGCATGAGGCAATAATCTTGCATTTGACGCCTGTCTATTAAAGTGATCGCTAGCCAACTGATCGTCGGTAAACATAAATTGATTAGGAATCGTAGATCATATCACGAATAGATTGAAGATTTAAATTAAATATCACTGATTGATTGATTTAAATTAATATAATAAAAGAATGAAACAATTACTCATGAACAAACTGTTTAACACAATTTTTCTTAATTCAATCATCATTATATTAAAAGTTATCAATGTTTTTCCAGCTATTCTGGAAAACATTATTTTTCTCTATGGTCCATACTCCTTTTTAACTGACACGAATGGAAACGATCCATTTTCTGGCATATTTCCCGAAAAGCCAGGTAATCGTGTAGCAAATCATAATAAAGATGAACCATTAGACTTAAAATCTCCCTGGGAAAAAGGTGAAGTTCATTGTTTAGATGTTCTAACACCTACACCTGGTATAATCTTCAATCCCAACGATCGTGCATGAATTCGTTGGCAGAAAACTAAATCTTGTAATCCTTTAACTCCGCTTTCAAATTTTGAAAGAAAATTACACGGCTCACCAAGTGTTAAAGGTAGTCTTAATGGTAAATTAAAATTGAATGAAGAGTATTCAGCTTCAATTGCATCGAATATTACTAAAATGGAATATGAATGGATCGCTCCCGTTATACCATTTCAAAATGTTAAAAATAATACTGCATATTATATAAAAGTTATTACCCAGGCTTTGTTAGACTCTAATGGTGTAGAAGCTACGGTGTTCGGTCTTATCGGTCCAATTACCATTACTAGAAAAGCGACGACTGCTCCTAAAACCTATTTTTCTCCAATTAATGCGACAAATACTAGTGACAAAATGAAGGTGACGATGGTATGAAAAAAGGACAACAAACGTCAAACTGTGATTCAGTTATATCAGATTTGTTTATGTCAAGTAATAGTGTGTCGATCCTCATGTTGCTCGAAATAACGGCCTTCATTTAAAGTTATAAAATTTGTTAGCTTAGCCTTATAATAATTTAAAATTTTAATATACCGTACGGTGCTGGCTACAGTGTCCCCCTGTTATAATACCCCCTATGAAAAAGACCCGGTACAATTCATGGGTTCATAATTCAGAAGATTGATAATTAGATACTGTATATATAATATTTATATTTGTATCGTAACTAAGTTTATTTTATGTCACGGCATGTCGCAACATTCGTATTCGCCGTGATATGCTATACTTGTGATATGCTAGAATTTATATTATGTGTACATAAATACTGTTGGGTTCGGAATAACTGCGACTCGGTCGCTCCGCTATCCAGAAACTTGCGTAACCGACGGAAGTAACCTTACGAAAGAGGCGTG